TGCGGGGCCCGGCCTCCCGACACGCGGCCGGCCACCCAGTTCCCGGGAGCTGCGGGCCCACCGGTCCCGCCCTCGCTCAGCCCCTCCTGGAGAGGGATGAGAGATCAGATGATCCCCAGCGGGGATCTAATTGGCTTCTCCGACGAGGAGGGCCTGGCTCGTGACTGAACAAAGCCCGGAGTCTCCCTGGCGGCCGGCCCGCGGACACCTACCTCCCCGTAGCCCTGGCCAGTCCCCAGGCCTGTAAGGTGGGCGTCTGCGCATCCGCAGCACTGTGGCCCCAAACCTGCTGCACCTGAGTGGGGACGTCGGCCCCTCCTCGCGGTAGAAGGAAGCCTTGGGTGGCTCTGGATGCCCTGGGTTACTGCTGAACTGGCAGAGGAACCTACGAATGCACGGTGGGATGACTTTGAGACTCAATCTGAAATCGGCCAACTTAACACACACACACACACACACACACACACACACACACACACACACACACACACACACACACACACACACACTTCTTCCCAGCACGCAGTTTTTCCTGGTGCTAGGTTAGTGCTGACTTCTGTTGAAAGTTCAGGGAGAGTACGACCGACAGGAATGAACTGTCCTAATGAAGCCCGATACTTTGTACGTGACCTTTAAATTTAAATTAAAAAGTGCGATACACCAAAACCATAATGGTTAAACAAACAAACCCAAAAATGTTAAACAAACCCAAAAATGCACTTAAGAGAGTGAAAGTCCCCAGGTTCCTCAGGTGCGCTCCACATCCTACACATCATACTAATCCACAGTTGGTTAAAGTTCTTTTGAATGAGAACACGGGAACAACATATTCTCCCGATGGTGGAAACAAGATCACTACAATGTAAGCAGTCTGCGGCTTTGTCGACAGAAGACGGTTTGGCTCATATATAATGGGTTCTAGTCCCTTTAAATGTGACAGCAGCGAGTTTAATACTCTCAATGGAAATATTTATAGATTTGATTACAGGGTACTGGATTGTAAATGTAGGAAGGGATTTGAAGCTTTTGGTTCCTTTTCAGATACTTGGTAACAGGAAGGGAAATATATTTGTACAAAAAACCCACAGTCAATTTTATAAGGAGATTTTAAGATCTTCTCACTGTGGCGGTATCATATACAATGTTTGGTAAACTATTACCTTTCTTTGAAATTTTTTACTTGAGATTTTCAAAATAAAGCAAGTCGATAGTCATGCTGTCGGGAATTAGCTAACAATTGATGATGCCCCTGTTAACACAGAGCAGGTAAGGAAGGTTCCAAAGTGTCTTCCTGCTACACAATGAGCAAACTCTATCTTCAGAAACAATAGATGGGACAGGAAGAAAGAGGCAGAGAAAGAAGGGTTAAGAACAGTCCCAGGCTCCTGCTCCAGCAGTGATGCAGACTTTCATGTTGTCTCTGAAATAAGCTACAGCCAGGCAAAGAGCATGTCATCATCTGTGGTGGGGAGCACGGGAATCGTTCATGAGCAGAACCTTAAATCTGAGTGACCATGGCAGAGCAATTGTGTCTACGTTATTTGTGTGCTCTGGGATCAAGCCCAGGACCTCCTGCCTGCTAGGCGAGCCCCCAGGCATGGAACCACAGCCCAGGCAGAACAATGGTTTTAATTAGATGCTTAGGTATTCACTTAAGACTTTAAAATCTAACCAGTATAGCAAACACACACACACACACACACACACACACACACACACACACACACACACACTTCACTTTTATGCTTCATTCTTATCCCCAGCAGTTTTCAAAATGTGCCCTAGCAAACATTTCATTAAGTGCATTCATGATTAGACAGAGTATAATAAATTGATATGCATGTATTTCTTTTCAGATACAGTTTAAATCAGGTCGGTTATGAAATTTCTCTCCAAAGGAAAAATGGGTGCTTCGGAAAATGAAATGAAGAATCGCTCTGTCCTTTGGAGTTTCTTTCCCTAGTGAATAAGACAGATACACCTGATGATGCTGGCATGAAATGAAGTGGTACAATTATGATAAGGTTTGGGGGGAGGGGACGGTAGGAGGAACCACATCCTGTTCTCTGTGGCATTTGTGAATGGTTATAATTCATGTTTGCTGGTTTATACATTTACATAACCTGTTCCCTCTCATTTATGTAACTTATTTATGTAAGAGGCAGTACTTCCACTGTGGCCTTTGTATGCAGCACAATTTCCCCGGGAATCAGGAAGCCTGAACACAGTAACCACCGGCTTGTAATAGGTCACTCTTCCGCCTTCCTGTGCCACCAGAAAGGGTCTGCCCTTGGATGTAATTGCCTCTTACACTCAAAGGAGAGAGAAATTAGTAGCTTCGTTCGTTTTCTAAAATCTAGCCTTTGGTCTCTGACTCATCCAGAAGTCTGTGATGAAAAAGAGGGCATCCTGCAAGCCAGCCCCTGGGCAGGAGGCTTCGGATGGCTTCAAGAGCTCTCTCCTTTCTTCCCGTGAGCGTCACTGGCTCTTGTCATCCTTTGCTAACAGAGTAGTAAAGTCAGGAGATTTGTATTTCATTTCGTTTTTTTTTTTTTCATGTGTGTGTGTGTTGTCTTCTAAAATAGATCAGTTATGTAAGAGAGGCAGAAGAAAAGTGTATCTGTTTCCTAATTTGGAAAATGCTTATCACCATCGTTCCATACTTATCCCTCCTGCCCACTGCCGCACCCCAAGACTTTTCCTGTTATAGTTAGAATGTTAAGAATAACATCGACACAATGGTTTTCTTGCACACACTTCTGCCATGGTCACATTTGAACCTCCTGTTCGTACAGTCAATGAATTTAACCATTTGTTTTTCACATCATCATTAAAAAGAAAGATAGCTGAGTTTCAGCTTGAAAGACCATGGGCTGGAGGATGTGACACAAAGGTAGAATTTATACTTGGGCAGTTCTGGGTTCAATTTTACACACATATAGTATACATACATACATATATACTTACATACATATATCCATACATACATACACATACAGTCCATCTCCTGGTTCAGGTTAATGACGTTCTAGCAGTTAGAATCTAGCAGTTGCACTGAAAACTAAACCATAAAGTCTCATATAATCGGTCCACATCCACTAGTATTTCTATAGGTGAAAGTCCTCCTTCTACTAAGTCTCATTCATTACATATGAAAGCAGAGCTGAGAGACCCCTGGCTTGACAGAAGTCCTCTAGGGAAGGGAACCCAGACACCTTAGTGCTAACTAGGTTCCCTGGGCTGTCAGGGGAGGTCACCTGCTTCACTGGCTCCCGTCTGCCATATGTACAGAGGACAAACTCCACGCGGCTCTGAGTGGCCTCCTATCCTTGGAACCTAGCTGGAGAAGTTTATGTGAAAGCAGCAGCAGGTGGCACAGTGTCTCCCAAGCTCAGGAACACAGCAGGATGACACCTGATGCAAATGGAACAGAAGAAAGAGTCTGAAAGGGAGGGGGCCGAATCTTGAGAACTGTATGTTGTTGCTGCACATGCAGCCCTGCTCAGAGCAGGTGGAATGAGCCTCGGGGACAGGAACATGATGCAGACACTGGACAGGGGTCCCCTAACCCCTACCTAGCTGCTTACCCTTACCACAAATCTGGGCGAGGCTGGAGAAAAGCCTGGAGGGGGGAGGGGGCTGGTTATGTAACAGGCATTTGTAAGGAAGTTTATATAAGATGCTAAAAATACAGTATATGATCGCTGCAATAGTGTTCTAAGTGAAAAGCCCTAATGAGGACAGCCCGAGCAGGTTAAATAGAGGTGATCCTGAACAGACGTCTAAACCCGGTTCCTTGCAGTGGCAGCTGTCTGAATACAACGCACCGCTCCCTAAACTGCATGCTGTCCCTGGGAGGAAAACTCAAGGGTCTCACTAAGGGAGGGCACTTGCCCTAACTCTTCCAAAGACTCTAGGAGTACTAAGTATGTAGTTGCTACTCTATCTTATTATATTCAAATGGATATGTTTCCCAAGTGTTGGTTCTTATAAAGAAATAAGCACAGTGATGAACCTCATATGCTAGTTAAATTCTAAGAACTAGCTACCCATGAATCCCCAGGGAGTTCTCCGGTACCATTATCATCTGAACACACACACACACACACACACACACACACACATATGCATGCATGCACACACGCTCACACACACACACACCTCCTTATTACCATTATCATCTGAACACACACACAGATGCAAATTCACACACAACAAGCACACACACACACACAACCTCCTTAGTACCATTATCATCCAAACACACATGCAGTCACACACACACACACACACACACACACACACACACACACACACACGTAGAGCCTTCTAGAACATAAGCTCCTTGGGATCTGGGATTTCTGCCCTCCTTTTTACTGATGAGTCTGTAGCGTGAGCAAGACGTCGATAGGTAATTGTTAAATGAGCCCACTCACAAAGGGCAGATATCATCTGATGGGCTGCTTTCCTGTTAACACCAAGAATCTGTTTTGTGCACTCACATACTGGAATACCCATTTTCTCCCCTTCCTTCCAGTTGTGGTTTGAAGGCATCCTCTTAAAAATTCGGGTGGAACATTGCTTTCTCTGTGATGGTATGGGGAGTTTGGGAAGCCATTGGGACATGACAGTGGAGCCTCATGAGTGATAGAACTTTTATGGGAGGTCTGAGGGCTTGCTCACTCTCTGTTGTTAACTGTCATTATTATTACTATTATTGCTATCGCTCCCATGCTGAGGATAGAAGGACACCTTCATTAAATATCCTACAAGTCTTATTGACTGATTAATTCTGTGGATTATGCACATTGTTAATAATAAAGCTGACTGGCTGATAGCTGGTCAGAAAGAGATTGAGTGTGAGATCCAGATAAAGAAAATTCTGGGAAGAGGAAGGGCAAAGTCGGGGCAGATGCCAGCTAGCTGCCAAGGAAGCAAGGCATGTCCAAGATGAGGTAACAAGCCACAAACCATGCAGCAAAGAAGAAAAATGGGTTAATTTAAATGTAAGAGCTAGTGAGTAATAAGCCTGAGCTACCTGCCAATCATTTATAATTACTATAAGCCTCTGAGTGATTATCTGGAAGCTGCCGCAAAACAGGAAATCTTCCAATTATATGTGATAGTTCAACATGCCCCCTGTACATCTACATAAAGCCTGAGAAAGCTTTAAAAAAAAAGGGGGGGGGGAGTTCTAGAACACAGAAATGGAGCCAAAACCAGCTTCCTAGTTGTGTCTCTCATGCAGGCTGTGGTCCAGAGATACAGCAGTGTGCAGGCTTGACCTATAGCATGGTGGATTTCCAACATGGTACACAGAGGCGTCTCCAAGCTGTGCAGTGTGCTATGTGGTGGATTTAGCTTTTGTTCATACAGACAAAAAGGGTTAAGAAACGCAGTAAAAACAGACTCAGATAGAAAGGCCTCTAAATGGGTCATAGTATGTTTAAAAGATGTGCTTAGGCTTGAGAGAGAAAATATATATATATATACATATATATATGTATATATATACATATATATGTATATATAATTAAAAATATAATAAAATAAAGTCCTTAGAAAGGGGAGTACAGTAATATAAAAAAAAATGAGCCATGCATGAATGGAAAATACACAGAGAGTCTGGATTATGTATGTTATTGTGTTTTGTTTGGATTTTTTGACTGTTAACAAGCTAACTCTGAGAGACATTTGATTGAGGGGACTGCTAGGTTAAACCAACCTTTGCATTTAAAAAATATCTTGACTTCAAAATTTGAGTCTGAGAATGTATTGCTTTGGGAAGGAGGTTCTGCTTATGTTTCCACAGAAGGTAAGAGTCTATGGATTCATTTCAAGTAAGATCAGTTTTGTTCGAGGAAGACCTCCTGAAAATCCAGACTACAGACATGGGAAAATAAATGTAAAGTAACTACAAGACACATGACATGTATTTTACTTGCTCAAACATAAAACAAAAATTTATCTTTGACTGCTTTTCTATAAGACACAGTTTATACTTCTATTAATATGGATATATATGTTACCTTTAAAAGTTTATATATTTTCAGAACAAGGGAACCAGACATCAATAAAAATGGATAACCCAGATGATTCAATGTTTCAATACACCTCTGTTAGTTTCCTCTGAGTTCTGCACCAAAACAGCTTTAAGGCTGCTGGCTGAGATGGACCAGCCGCACAAAATACCTCAGTCAGGATTTGAACATAAT